AACCCTTTGTGACCCAAGTCAAGAAGCATGTATTTAAGAAACCAAAAAAGCTGGGCATGAGAATTGGAATTTCAAGAGTTCCTTGTCTTTATGATGTCCCTTTAGTATTTTTAAAATTTTATCTCAGAGCTTTTGAACTTCCTTTAGGGCAGGAACTTGATGATATATCCTATTACAGTAAAATCTTCTAAGTCAGTGAATAAAACATATAAACAAAGTTGCTGGACCTAGAAACATACTGATAAAGATCAGTTCCAGAAATTATTTGACAGAAGCAGACATACTTGAGGTGATATAATTTATTACTTCCTCCTAAGCAGGACAGCCTCGAGACTTACGTATGAAAGAAATGAGGTGAACTGAATACTCTGTTTAAACATTATGCAGTGAAGTAGCTGCTTCTTGACAGATAGGCCAGATATCAGGTTCCCAGCCCTGCCCTGTGGCCCTTCACTAGAGTCATGGTCATCCCTAGGCATATTTGGTGCTTTGAGTTCAGTGTCTTTTGATCTCCTAGATATGGGCCTTCCCCGGTCTGCCGGTAACCTTGGGACCTCTCTGAGGTCAATTCAGAGGTCCCAGTAATGGGACGGCATTTAGCCAAGACGCTGTTGTGTATCAATGAATGGAACCAACATCCTTGCTCTGCAAAAAAGATATAAGGTGTGAACCCTGGTAAAATCTGACACATGCACACATATTCTTGCTTTAGTGGCAAATCTATGTATGTGATGATATAAAATGGTTTCCTTGGTTTACAGTGGAAACTGTTTGTGGAACTGTTTTCTTCAGTTACATCAGCTTTTATTTTACAGTAAAATTTCTAGTTTAAAAATAAGGGGGGAAAAATAAAGGGGGAAGAAATACAGAAAAACATTAAACAGCACACAGAGGAAGATATATTTATTTTCTCCTTTTAAACTTGCCTGTGCTTTCCAGTTCTTTCTAATTGTTTTATATTTGAAAAAGTGAAAGTGTTATATTTTTCAAACAAAATTTGAAATGCTTCTAATACAAAGCGGTTACTCCAAAAAACAAATCCAAGTAGCAATTTGTTAAGAGTATCTCTATAAAACGAAAAGCTCCAACTGTCACTGTCCACATCCAAGTCACCTTCATCCCTCACCTGATTGCTGCTGTCACCTCCTGCCCGGTCATCTGCTTCCACCCTTGTTCACTTCCAGGATATTCTCTTGGCAGTCAAGTGATCCTATTGAAATACAAGGCAGATTTTGTCACTTTGTTTAAAACCCTGCAATAGGCTCCCATCTCCAGCAAAATGTCCCTCCAGCAAAATGCAAATTCCTGTTCTAGAGGAGCTGCTACAGGATAGAATCTGTATCATTCATTCATTCAGTCACTCAACACTGAGCACCTACAATGTGCCAGGCACTATTCTATGTGTTGTATGAAAAAACAATAAACAAATCACATGAAATCCCTGCCCTGTGAAGATTACAATCAATACCATTCAATAAAAGGACCCTTTAAACAACCAGAACTGTCTCAAGTTGAAATTAGAGGAGGTGGTGAGTTCTGTCATGAGAGGTTAGATCAAAGACTTGCATTTCTAAGGCTTCTAAGATTTCAATCAATCTAAGGGTAGGTTTGTGATTGGGCACCACAGTGATTCTCTTCTCCATCCCACCACCATCTCTTAACTATGCAACTGCAAATGCCTAATAGTTTACCTACTTCCCATCTGCTCCCCTACAAGTCACTCTTCAGACAGCAACTAGAAGAAACATTTCTTCATTCATTCAACAAATATTTATTGAGCCCCTGCCATGTGTCAGGCAGTATTTAAGGGATAATACATTGGTGATCAAACATAAATCCCTGTCTTCAGGGAGCTTCCATTCCAGTGTGGAAGGCAGAATATAAACAACAGAAATTGGTAAAGTATATGATATATTAAATGGTGATACTTACTAAAAAAAGAGAAAATAAAGCAAGGGTACACAGAAATATCAACAGTGGGATAATTAGGATGGTCAGGGAAGAGTTCACTGAGAAAGCAATTTTTAAAATAAAAACCAAAAGGCAGTGAGGGACTGAGCTTCACAGATATCTAGGGAAAGAGAATTTCAAGCAGAGGAAAAGCCAGAGCAAATGCCCAGAAGCAGGAGCATCTGAAGCAACAGTGAGAAGGCCAGTGAGACTGAAGCAGGACAATAAAGGGAGACTTGTAGAAAAAGCCACATAGATGAAAGGCAGCCAGGAAACCTTTATAGGCTTCAGAGGTCATGATAAGGACCTTGGGAGGGAGATGGGAGCCTATTGCAGGGTTTTAAACAAAGTGACAAAATCTGCCTTGTATTTCAATAGGATCACTTGACTGCCAAGAGAATATCCTGGAAGTGAACAAGGGTGGAAGCAGATGACCGGGCAGGAGGTGACAGCAGCAATCAGGTGAGGGATGAAGGTGACTTGGATGTGGACAGTGACAGTTGGAGCTGGATTATACATAAAATGTAAACCTGACTCTATCAAGCCTACTTAATTTCCTGCAAAATGAATTCCCTGCAAAAAACTCTTCCCCAGACCCAGGAGGCCCTGTGCAAAACAGGTCTTGCCTCCCTTCCCGACCTCATCCCTCGCCATTCTCTCCCTCAGCAGATGGCTTTCCCTTGGTTTTATAGGGCTGCCTCCTTCTGTCCTGAGGCTCTCGCCTTTGGTGTTATCCTCAGACCGGGCTTTGAGAGCAGGCTTTGGGAGTGCTTTTCAGCACTGTACTCCCCAGCACCTAGAACAGAACCTGGCACCTAGCAGGTGCTCGGTGGGGTCTCGTTAAATAACTATAGTGCAGGTATGTAACTTTATTTTCCCTTTCACTCCTCAGAAGATAACACCTAAATAAATAAATAAGAGGTAAGTGATGCCATTGACAGTGCTTCAGTAGGAAACACAGCACAGCTGCATCCCCTGCACAGAGCTGAGCTGACCAACTGCCACCCAACTGGGGCTATGATGACTGTCAGATTGCCTGCAGTCCTGCTTCAGAAGTAGCTGTTTCCCTCCCAGAGGCTACTTTCTCCTCCAGCCCCAGTCCGTCTCCACAGCCCCATCCCAACCCAGGTTGTTCAATTATTCTTCTTCCCCTTATGTGTCCGCTCTCTTGTACGACCGACCAGTCATGACCCTCAACCTTGTAACCATCTCACGTCTCTCTATTTTTCAAAGGCTCTATTCTCCCCTTTGTTGACCAATTCATCTTTTTTCCCTTTCTTCACAGCAACATAGTTATTATGCAACATTCCATACCCACAAAAGATTATAGGGAAATATGTATATGTTATGAAGCATAATCAGAATAAAATACCTATGGATCTACCAATCTATTCTGACTTCTAATATACATACAGTAAAGTACACGTGCTTTTAAATGTACAGTTCAATTAAAATTTTTAGGTTTTATTTAAAAGTAACTGTAGATTAATAGGAAATTGCAAAGAAATGTACACGAATGTTCCATTCACCCATCACCCTGCCCACCCACCCCAGTGTTGACATCTTGCATAACTGTAACAAAACCGGGAAATCGATGTTGGTACAATCCACAACACCAATTCTTTTGCATCTATCCGTGTTCTCCTTTCTGCATGCCTACCTATTCCAGAGATAGCTATTATCCTAAATATTGGACTGAACATTCTTTTAATTTGTATGTCTTTCCACAGACGTACTTGTCACTGTGCATCAAAGGGTTACCAGAGCAGGCCTACTTACAAGGTTGGCCCTTGGCTGATGTCTAGGAAGTTGGATTTCAAGAGGGGTCCCATGGTTCTCTAACTGATATAGGTGACTCACTGTGCCTTAACTGTACAAACAATGTAGTTTAGACTGAATACCTGCCTTCCTCCTAGGAGTCTGCAATTTAGATACACACTAGGCAAAGAGTGTCTAAGCAACCAACCCCCAATAAAAGCCAAGTCACTAAATGGGCTTCCCTGTGCAGAAACATAGTACACGAATTGTTTCATTTCCACTGCTGGGTGAAGTATGCTCTGTGTGACCCTCATGGGAGGGAGGCAGCAGAAGGAAGCCTGTGCAGAGATTGCTCCAGACACTGCCTCTGTCTTCTCCTCTAATGCTCCAGCTGTGACTCCTTACTACATCACCACTACAAAGATCTTACCCACGAGGACAACTATGTGCTGAGTCCCATGAGTCCTCCCAGCAAGTCTCTGAACTTGGGGTGTGTCTTGGGGACTCCTGACCCAATGTATTATTTAGTTTTGCTTTATTTGAGATTTCTAAAAATGGTAGCATACCACATGTAGATTTGTGCAACTTACTTTTCACTCAATATGTTTTTAAGATTAACCTATGGTGTGCATTTTTATTACCGTAAAATGCCTTTGGATGACCAAACCACAACTGACCTGTCCCTTCCCCTGCTAACATTTGGGTTGTGTTCAGTTTTGCTCACACAAGTATTGCATATGTGAATATCTTGGTATATGACTCCTGGTACAAATATGTAAAGTTCTCTAGGGAATTGATTACCAACCTTGATTATCTGGGGACATTTAAATAACACTGATGCCAGGGTACCACCGGCAGAAATTCTGATTTGGTTGGTCTGAGGTATGGCCTGGGCATGCTTTTTCTTTAATTTCCCTGCAAGTGTATTTGCTAGGTCACCTAGTAATTCAATATTCAACTTTAAAAATGGTTGGGAACCAGGTTTAATGAATCAAGACTTTGTAGAATGAATCAGAGCAAAGCCAAAACAAAATACAGAGCAAACCACTACCTATAAAGAACTGAAAAGGTAATCAAGACTCTGTCCAGACCCAAATGCAGAGAGCACTAGCTCCACTGACGCCCGGGTGTTCCCGAGCCCTTTCTCCGGGAGGCGGGACTTGCGGGACGGGGAGGGGCTTGTCCTGTTCGACCACGCCCCCTGCGGACGGCGTGAGTGGGCCGGAGCGCAGAAGCAGGCACGCCCCCGCCGTTTCCTAGGCGACGAAACATACAGGACGCCCGGAGCGTCACGGGAGCTGACGAGGTAAACTGCCCGGCGGGCAGGTAATCCCGAGCGGGCTGCGCGGCCGCCACCCTCGGTCCGACCCAGCCTGACCCCGCCCTGCGCGCCCGGCCCGGCATGTCCCCTCGGCGCCCGGTCCTACGGGGACCCACCTCCGCTGAGAGAAGGGGTCCGAACACCGGTAGGGAGAGCACCCGGGGAGGGCAGGGAGAGCACCCGGGGAGGGCAGGGGCCGGGAGGGGCGAGCGGGACCCCTGAGTCTGCTGCTATCCGCGCCCTCCGAGGCCCCCTCCACCGCTCTCCTCGCTCCTCGACGGCCGGACTCCGTCTCGGTGGGAGCATGTCGGCGCCCTCGCCGGCCTGAGGGGACCCCCTCCCGGAACCCTAGCCCCCCGCGCGTCCCGCCTGCCCCGTTCACTCTGCTGGCGTGGCTGGAGAGGAAGCTACTCTTAGGAGCGAGGGGCGGTGTCGGGTCTCAAGGAGGCAGAGGATTTGAGTTCAGAACTGCCACAAAATAAAAGGGAAAAGAAAGAGAAACTGGTCAAATTCGACCCGCGTTCGTGCATCCCAAGGACTCCCCGGTAAAAGCGGGATCCTGGCACTGGGGGACCCTGGGGGACGCCGGCAGTGCCCCGCCCAGTCAGCGTCGGGGTGCCCAGGGACCACTCACCCGCGGCGGCCGGACGCGCAGGGCCCCGGGGACGACCCCTTCCCGGCAGACCTGCTGAGCACCAGCCCCAGGAGTCTTCCAGGGGCCCCAGTTTGCGGGAAAGAATGAATGTCCGCGTAACGAAAGCAGTTTCCTTAATGCAAATAAGACATTTTCATTTAGGGACAGAGTCGGGGCGGGGGGTAGGGGTGGGGGCAATAAAACTGGTTTTCAGTAGTTGTAATAAAAATTATAAAAGAAAGCCTTACGCAATTATGTTTACATATTTTTAAATGAGCAGACATTTGTTCTGGTAACGGATTTCCGAAGTTACCGGATTTATTTTAATTAGAAAAACTACCCATGGAGTCAAGATTGTGGTGGAGGCAAAAGTTACTTCCCAGCCCTATGGCCTTTGTTTACCTCCGCCATCCCCACTCACTGCCCCGGATGGGAAGGGAGGCAGCTGCCCCTGAAGGCGGCCACTTGCTGCCTGGCTGAGCTGGCTTTGGGCAAAGAGGTTCGATCTCTTCCCTGGGGTGGTTTTTCTGTTTTAATTTTAAAAAGGTTTGTGAATATTAGCACAAAGTACTGTGCTTTTATTTTTTTAGCACAGAATCTTTGCTTTTCCATTATAAAATCTCCCTTTTTAATTTCTGTAAAATAGGACTTGGTTAGTATGAAACCTTTTTCTGTTTTGCTTTTTAAACAACGTAGTGATTATAAGATGTTAATTACCCCCTTTTTCCTTTGAAACAAGCATTAATGCCAGCCTTGGAGTGGTATCCTTACAGTAGGTTCCACAAAGACCAACCGAAGACATCCAAACGTTCTCCGTTCAAAGACTGGCAGACAACATTTTACCCTCCATTTGTCCTCTGTGTTAATCTTCTTTAATCCTACCTAAATCCCTTATTGGCTGGAAAAAGCTGTTAAGAATAAAGCTCAAATTTACAGTAACTGTGCACTTAGATGAGAATAAGAAAACTAGAGTGGGACATTTGGCCACTGTTCTTATATTTTAAGGGGGTGTGTGTAGAGGGGGGTATGTGGACAGCCAACGTAGTTAGTTTCTCACCTTGGAGAACTATTTATTTTGAAATTAAGAAGACTCAAAAGAGGCTTTTCTAAAGTTTTTGTTTGGAAGCATAATAGTAAATTTGTTTTACTTTATTTAATGTTAGTCTGTAGCCTTGAGCCTCGAAATAAGTGGCTTTTTCTTTGAATCAAAATATAAGGTTTGTTTGACCTATAGGAAAGTCAGTAAATATAGCTTGACTGTAGAAAATTCCATGTTCCTAACAGTTCTGTTAAATTAATTGAGGATCATAGTTATATTACATTTATCTGCATTTTGCCTGGATGCATATATATATATATATAGAAATATTCATTTACATAAAAAATAATGTTAACACCTATTTTGCAGAATTAGCTTTCCATAGGTCAGCAGAGAAAAATATGTGTAACTTGCAGAGAAATGTTGTGTGTGAACTGGGGACCCATAGGCAGTCCATGTTTTCTTAAGTTGCTGCCTGGCTGAGCTGGCTTTGGGCAAAGAGGTTCGATCTCTTCCCTGAGGTGGTTTTTTTGTTTTAATTTTAAAATGGTTTGTGAATATTAGCACAAAGCACTGTGCTTTTATTTTTTTAACACAGAATCTTTGCTTTTCCATGATAAAAGCTCCCTTTTTAATTTCTGATACACAGTACTGCTTGCTGCTTAGCAATCAGTTTAGGACCTTGCATTGCTACACTGATAAAAGCAGAAATTTATATGCTGTCAGTGAGTAGGTACATGGGAATAATGACTTTTTAAAAAAAATTTTTATTAAGGTCTGATTGATATATACTCTTATGAAGGTTTCACATGAAAAAACAATGTGGTTACTACATTTACCCATATTATCAAGTCCCCACCCATACCCCAATGCAGTCACTGTCCATCAGTGTAGTAAGATGCCACAGAGTCACTGTTGGCCTTCTCTGTACTACACTTTTCTCCCCGTGATCCCCCACACCATGTGTACTAAACATAATACCCCTCAGTCCCCTTCTCCCTCCCTCCACACCTGCCCTCCCACACCCCTCCCCTTTGGTAACCACTAGTTCATTCTTGGAGTCTCTGAGTCTGCTGCCATTTTGTTCCTTCAGTTTTGCTTCATTGTTATACTCCACAAATGAGGGAAACCGTTTGGCA